GCTGTGTTCATCCAGCTCTGCATCTTGTTATCTCAGATTCTCCAGCATCTGCAGTTCCTGCTATCTTTGTCCAATATTTCTCTTCAGGTTTCACTGGCTGAATGGGAAACTTGCTAGAAATTGATGAGAGCACTATTTGCATGCATTATCATCTCATTATTACCAACTCACTCATTTATTTGCAGGCTGCTATTCTTCCAGGTACCACTAAGAAACGAGGTGGCTCCAACACCCAAATGGAAAGTCAGAGCAGCTCGTTAGTGGCTGCAACTCACTGGTGTCTTCTCCAGGCTCCAACATTTGCTTGCATTCTAAATACCTCAAGGCATGGGCCAGTGACAATGACTGCCTGCATCCTCCATCCAAAGAAGTCAGTATCAGCAAAGGCTCACAACATCACCATAGTACATCTTGGAATAACTTATAATACAGTTCAGAACTTCACTATGGTACTTGAAGCTTACCGTCATCTTAAAGCTGTTTTGCACTGAAACAGGCACCTTTCTCATATATCGGTATAGGTTGTATCTCTGGGCTATTCACATACTTTCTTAGCATTCACTCAGCATGGCTTCATGAAAGGGGAATCATGTTTGACAGATTTATCAGAATTCTTCGAGGAGGTAACAAACAGGATAGAAAAAGGGGAAGCAGCAAATGTAGTATATTTTGATTTCAAGAAGACGTTTGTTAAAGTACTGGATGCTAGGCTACTTAATTAGATAAGAACCTATAGTGTTTGCGCAAGTATATTAGCATGAATACAGGATTGGCTAAGTAAAAGAGAAAGGCATAGAACATAGAACAGTACAGCACAGTACAGGCCCATTGGTTCACGATGTGCCGATCTATTATCCTACTCTATGATCAAACTAACCTGCATACCCTTCATTTTACTATCATCCATGTGCCTATCCAAGAGTTGCTTAAATGTCCCTAGTGTATTTGACTCTACTACCACTGCCAACAGAGCATTCCACGCACCCACCACTCTCTGTGTAAAGATCCTACCTCTGACATCTCCCCTATACCTTCTTCCAATCACCTTAAAATTATGCCCCCTCATGATAGTCATTTCCACCCTGGGAAAAAGTCTCTGGCTATCCACTCTATCTATGCCTCTCATCATCTTGTACACCTCTATCAAGTCACCTCTCATCCTTCTTCGCTCCAATGAGAAAAGCCCTAGCTCTCTCAACCTTTCCTCATAAGACGTGCCCTCCAGTCTGGGCAGCTTCCTGGTAAATCTCCTCTGCACCCTCTCTAAAGCTTCCACATCCTTTCTGTAATGAGACCAGCAGAACTGAACACAATATTCCAAGTGTGCTCTAACCAGGGTTTTAATAGAGCTGCAGCATAACTTTGCAGCTCTTAAACTCAATCCCTCTGCCAATGAAAACCAACACACC